GGCTCGGCGAGAATTTCTTCATATCTCTAAAAAAGAAAGAAAGAAAACAGACAACCAAGGGAGGGATGGGAGAAGAGGACGGCACGCCGCCACCACACAGGGATTTTAAGGAGAGGAGTGTGATGCGCTAGCCGTCGCCCACCCTAGGGAGTCTGCCTCTTCCTATCTCTTTTCGCAGTCTCTCGCCGCTTCTCGCTGCAACCTTCATGCCACCTCGCGGCCGTCCCACTCTCGTCGTTCTCTCCCTTGTCACTTCCTCCGTCGCGTCATTCTCTTCTGCCTCGTCCTGCGCCGCCGCCGCCTGCCGTTCCCTTGTTCTCTCGGCTTCTTTCGCCTTTCGGCGCAGCTCCGCCCTCCTTGCTGCATATCCTGGCCCCTCGAGTCTATCGAGCTCCCCTCGCGCAAGGACCACATTTCTGACTCCCACTCCGATCATTTGCCGCCAAGTCATATCGTTGCTCAGGTCCACTCTCTCTTCAAACACTCGTGCCTCTACGGATGATGCCGGCGCTGGGGTCCCCTTCGGATGCATCGTGACATCTGACAACTGAATTTCCACTGGTTCGTCCTCCTCTTCATATAAATAAATAAATAAATAGAGCAGTCATCTCCAGGGAGAGATGGGCGACGCACACGAACACAGAGGGACAGTGCGCACCCCGCCCCGCTCGCAGGGCGTGCATCACACAGGTGGACTGTGTGACTCCTCGGGTTTCTGGGACTCAGAGGTGTGCTAGTCGCTATTCTCCGACAATTCCGACATATCTGACGGGCAGTTCGGGCTCGAGCGGTCGCGGTCGCGGCCAGCGCGTGAGGCCTGGCTAGGGTTGCCGGGCGAGAGCTCGACCCACGCGCCGGAGCGCGCGTGGTGCTTGAGCAGCCGGGCGGTCGCCGCAGCCACCTCGAAGGGTAGCTCGTCGAGCCACTCGCCGAATGTGCCCTCGTCCTCGGAGTCGTAGCCGCAAACGGAGGAGCCGGCAGAAGAGGCCCGCTTCGCAGGCGGCGCGTCAGGCGACGAGGAGCGCGAACGCCGCGGCGGCACACCGTCGCCGCGCGCGGAGAGCGCGTTCCTGTCGACGCGGGGCGCAGCCTTGCGCCGGCCGCGCTTGGCCGGCCGGATTGTGAGGCTGCCGGCAGGCGGCTGTGCAGCCGCGGCTGCGTACGACTGAGCCGCAGGCGCGGCGGGTGGCGCGGCCGGCAGACACCATCTGATAGGCACCGACTGGGCGAAAACCGCCGGCGGTATGGGCATCTAAGGGGAGGGTTAGGCCCCGTGCAACTCAAGGCGTCCGGG